GCACTGAAGAAACGTTTGAAGCTATTCTTTGAGCCCCCAAATCCCCAAACCTGCTGGAATGAACGGGATTGAGTAAAACCCTGAGACAGTAGCCAGTCAGGCAGCCCTTGTTCGAGATTGAACGTGAAATAGAGAGAGTGACAGCAGGATGATGACGCAAATTGCTCCGGGCGTCGGAGCAAACCTTCTAGGCCAATACTCCACGGAACCAAGATACTATTAAGAAATATAGAGTTATTTTATTTATTAAGGATAGAATAATCTTTTATTTTTTCTGTCTTGTTTGACTTATATATAATCTTTTTGTATTTAGATTAGATAACTTTCTAGTATTCAATTGAATTATACAGTATTAATAAAACTCTAACTTCCTCTTTTCTTATATCTTGTATTTTTTTAGATTGTTCAATATGGTATCAGAGCACTTGAATGAAGGTCTGGTTGTATTGTTCTTAGGATTTTTATGTGAATAAGAAAATTGAGTGGCTTAATCATACATTGAAGTACATTTTTGTCCAGCTCAAGCTAATTGAATTGTTCTTTTTCCCTAACGTCTCCAATCTATGTGACTTAATTGAAGATCCCATTGCAAATTTGGTGAGAAGTGTTCTGGGTGTACCTCATCAACCAATCAGATCTGTTCGTCGTTCGCTCCGGACGGAGAAAGAGAGAGAGAGAAGCTTAGGGGGACAAAGAGAGAGAGACGGAGAAGAAGAAGCTTACCTCGCATCAGGGAATCGTTGCATGTGATGAACGTCTTCACCAACCAGGAAGAGTTGAGCTGCTTGGACGAAAGTGATAAACGGTCCTTTGGTAGGGTCCGACTCCTCTGCGGTAAGGTGCTTACAGCATGACATGTGATTTAATAAATTGGTCATGTTTGACTGTTTTTTGGAATTTTTTTTATTTTGAGCAATAGTGTGAACAATAAAGAGCAATCGATACGAAACCAAACCCTAATTAATTCTTACAATACAAGGTAGGTAATTAGAAATCACTCTTATAGTTAATTAGGCATCACACCTAGGGTTATGAATTGCATCTCACAATTCCCATAGCATTTATCTGCTAAAATTTTTTCCTGAAAAATATCTCTCCCCTTAAATAAAGCATTAAATCTTTATATATAGACCTCGAAGTATTTTTTAATCCCCAAAAGATTAGGACTTCAAAGACTCTAGGACTTTAACATCCAAAGACTCCCGATTACATGTAGATTAGGAGCTAATCTAGATTAGACCTAGGACTCTAAATTTTAGAGCATCGAACACTAGCTTTCTACCCAACGGTTAGACTATGACCTGTTCCAACAAATCAAGAAATTAAAAAAATTACTCTTGATAATAAAAAATATTAAAAGGACATATAAAATACTAATATTAGTAAATTGACTCCAACGAACTCGGATCCGGCACTTCTGCTGTTCAGGAGGAACAGCAGCCCTGTTGTTCGGGAGAAACGACACCGTTTGATATTTTTTTGTTATAAACCAGTCAGACCCACCAAAATTTTCTTTTTCACTCCCAAATCAAGCCCTAAAATTGTCATATATCCGCCGAAGACGAAGACCCAAAAATTCAAGCCCTAAAATGATGCCGAAGTCGAAGACCCAAAAATTTCTAACACTCCATCGCCTACATCTTCACCGATGCCGACGCCAACAAATAGAGGAAGAATCCGATGAATACTAGGCACTTCACCATCAAAGTGCCGTTTCAGACTTGGTTTTATTATGGTTTCTCTTTTTGGGTTCTCAACTTATTAGCTGTTTAAGACTTGGTTTTATTATGATTCCTTCTGTTTTATTGCAGGATCTCTGATGTTACAGCTCTTTGATCAGACAGTTTTTCTGAGCTGGTCTGAAGCTGTAGTGGAGTACTCAGAGCAGGAGCTGTACAGGAGTTTGTGGATAACAGGAATTTTTTGTGTATTTTGTACAGTTTTCTGTTTTGCTTAAACAGTATGTTACATGAAGAAGGTGGCGATGCGGTTTGACCCCATAATTAATATAAATTAACAACAAATTAAAATATCACAATAAATCATATCATAAAATTTAATAATAATCAAAAAAATTAACAAAATAATCGAAGATTCAAAATTTTAATATTTAAATTTAGGTCAAAAAAATTCAACTAATAAAAATGTAAATTTGTGGCTGTGTATGTGTATGTGTGTGTTTATACATATATTCACTTAAAAATATTTAAAATGAATATAAAAATACCTGAAATGGACGAAGGAGACGAATTGTAAAACTGAATAAACAAATTTTGATTTGTTTCTTGGTGTTTCAGCAAGAATCTCAAAGCCAGATGATCTTGGTGCAGCAGTGCGCCAAGAATGACGCCAAAAGTTGCCTTTTGGGAGTGAAAAAGAAAAATTTGGTGGGTCTGACTCGTTTATAACAAAACGGCACCAAACGGTGCCGTTACTGCCTTACAGATTGGTTTTTTTGGAATTTGACTTTTCTTGAACATCTCATGAATTGCATCAAACTCAAAACATTTTTGAAACACCCACTAAGTATTAAAAATTTCAGTTCAATCACTAATTTGTTTTGATCACCTTAAAAACGGAAATATTTTTGCCATTTCAACAATTTTAAAACAATGTTTTGATCCTTGCATGCGAAGATCCCGGAGATGCAAAGGTTGGGCTAGATTAAATAGGCTACTAGAGATTTTAAGCTTATGAACTTCATAAAAAGAAAAACAAACATTATCTGCTTATTTCTGCTATAAGGGCATTAAATTAAATTATATTAATTTAGGCCCAAAAAACCCACCAAATTCTAAACTCGTACTATGCACTATCATTTGTACATTTTTGAAATTGGTTTTTAAGAATAAGACGCCATATAAGTTTGTGATTAATAAAAATGCAGCAAAAACCACATATACAACAACTACAAAAGAGTCAAACATGTGGACCATGACCAATCGATCTTTCAAAAAAAATAAGGTCGTGTTTGATTTACACATCATATCTAATTAAAAGTAAAAAAAGCCATTTTTCTTATCAAAGAGAACATCATATGACGTGCATGTTGCCATAAAATACATGGCCCTGTGTCAAACTAAGACTATCCAATATAGCCAACAAACATGCATGGCTACAACTCTTAGATGATCATTAAGCAACAAATTGTACTGTGGCCTCAGGAAAATCTGGATAAGTGCATTTGGGTTAAAGAAAATGCAATACACAACCATTAGCAAAGATTAGTCTCTTGGAGGCATTACAAGTATCCATGGACACAACAATTCGTTAGCGTATTCCCAAACTATGTGTCTGAACAACTGAAAATATTCTACAAGAAATGATTCTATGCTGATTCGGAGGAGAGTCTAATGTGCGTAGCCTTAACCTTTGTGCGTGGAATGACTATTTTCATAACTTGAACATGAGACGCCCAAATCGCTGCAACCAACCTTGCGCCAAAGGCCTACCCTCAGAAGAGTACAAAATAACCAATAGCACTGTAGCAGGTTTATTTATGTGAACCTTCTTTCCTTTGCTGAGTTTTTTATCTTCAATAAAACTAGAATAACTTTCAAGAATCCCATTTCAGTCTTAGATGAAGCGCAGTTTATACTTTATGATAAGACTCATCTAATACGCAAAGGAAAATACTTATCAGTTGCACCCGAGAGTTAGGCCTTAAAACAGTGGCATGGATTATCTTTTGTCCCAAAGATCAATCAGAGTCAATAATACTTTTTTTTCTTGCATGACGAACTACCGCCATTTCTCTCAATTATTCATTTTCATAATCCATAGTTTTTCTGGGCATGAGAGTATGCTAATAATATAAACCAAGAAATGTTTTTTTTCTTTTTTTCCCTTATAGTGTTTTGAAAAGTTCGCCTAGGCGAGAAACGAGGCGAAGCAAGGTTACCTCGCCTTGAGGACCCAAGGCAAAGCGAACATGACTAAAGCGAAAAAGCGAGCAACTTGAGATTAAGAGAAAGGTGAAAAAGCGAGCGCCTTAGTTATGCGAGGCGATGCAGTCTTTTATTTTTATTGTGGACCATTGAATTATTTTATTTTTATTGTGTACCATTGGATTGGAGCAATTGCAAAAAAATTATAAGATATCCACACAACCAATTACCCCCTTATCCCATAAATATAAAATTCAAACCCTAATTTTGCTCAGGATCAACGATCGACTGCTGCTACTCCTTCCTCTTTGACGAACGATTGTTGCTGCTCCTTCCTCTTTGACGGTCGACTGTTGGGTCTTGTTGCTCTATGTTTGTCTCCTATTTTTCTTCTCTCTTCTATTTCTCTTCTTTCTCTTTGGTTCTTCTTCTTTTTGGTTCTGATTCTGTTTTTTTTTTGCTTATGTTTTTTTTTCCTGCTGCTGTTGATTGTCTAGTTCTGATTTTGTTTGTTTTTTTTTTTTTTTGCTTCTGCTCTTTAATGATGAATGTTGATGCTGAATGCTGCTGCTGCTTCTTTTTCTTTAATTCTGTTTTTTTGCTTCTGATTTTCTAATGTTACTTCTTTGTAATTCTGATAATGAATGCTGCTTTTTTATAAGTCTGATTTTCTGATGATTCTAACTTGCTGATAGTGCTGTAATGTTGAATGTTAATAGTGGCATAGTCCTGATGTACTGATAGGGCTGATTTTGTTGATTTCCTGTACTGTTTTGTTCCTTTGATTCATAAACATATTTAAATATTTAATATATATAAAATTAGAACTTAGATGTTTAGAAGTAATTAAACTAAAATATTTATTTTTATTTTTAACTGTTCACTTCGTTTCGATAAAACGTTTCGTTTTGCTTCTCGCCTCTCGCCTAGGTGTTAGGAGCCTTGCTCGCTTCAATTGACTTTACGCCTTAAATAACACTGTTCCATTAAAAAAGGAGGGATGAAACTTGATTCCATGAGCCATTATTACAATCCAAAAGGAAAAAGTACAGGCAAAAACTACTTAGAGAAGAACTCAGCTGATTTCAAACACGCATATTTGTAACAGATACTTCACAATAATCCAATCGTCGTATGCAAATTAATAAACACTCTGCAAGATGAATTTGGTTCTAGCAAGAATTTCAAGAAATCGCCTTTAGCCGTTGCATATTGCTGCTGGAAACCAGCAGTCTTCTTCGGTGTTGCTGCACTAATACGCATCGGCCTAGTTGAGCAATACACACCATTCATTTCAGTCATAGCACGGTTCCGCTCCATCTCATCAGCAAATTTAACAAAGCCATAACCCTTGGAGCGTCCAGTATTTGGATCAGTCACAACCTTGGCTCCTCTAACCGAAGGATATTGAGCTCGGAAGGTCTCTTACAACAAATAATCTGTCACATCAGGAGCTAAATCCCCTTCAAAAATAGAATGCTCTGGCCCAGCATCAGGACGTCTTTCTCCGATCCCAAAAGATGCCCAATTCAACCTAAAAGTCACTTCAGTTCCAGGGATTTGTGTTCCATTATATGACTGCAGAATCCTTTCAGCTGTTGCATGTGAAGTAAATTCGACAAATTTATAGCCGCTACACACAAATTATTCTTCCTCTCTACTTCTAATCTCTTTTTTCTTCTCTTTCTCCTCCACAAACCCTAATACCAATTTCACCTATTAACTAATTGGTCTTTATTTGGTTTCCTTTTGCTAAAATGTAAAAAAAACACAGAATATCATTGTCTCATAGTGTATAAAATATTTCTAGCATACCTTTCAATCCAATTTGAATATAATTATGTTGCAACAATCTGACCTTATGTGTCGTACAAAAGTTTATAACAAAAATTTCTTACTTGCTCTGTTACCAAGCTAATGTAAGCGGAATGAGTTTTTGGTTTCCACATAATAAAACTCATACCTAGCTTAATAGCTTTAAGCTATGTTAGTGATGAGTTTGTTTACTAAGGTTATCCAAGAGTGGAAGCCCAAAGACAAATTTCCGGTCCCGGCCATTGGTTAGAAACCTAGAAAAGTACAACCATCATGATCTCAATTGAATTTATGCCCAAAAAAAATTGCAAGCAGACCCTAAAACACACGAGGACATTTTTATGGTTGTGTTTCATGGTGCTATCACCATTTTAAATTTCGCACCACTGACTGGGAAGTACAAACATGGACACTCACACAAGCAGCTACAAATAACGGCATTGCAGATAAAATCCTATACTTGACAACCATATAAAAGTATAAGGAAATTACTACTTTATGATAAGTAAATGTTTCTCCCTTCTTTCCATTCTTCATTTGTGAGTGAACATATGGTGGGCCAAGGGGTCGCTTAGTGCCCTGCTCTGCTCTAAGATTACCTAGCTTATTTTTCTTTCTCTTTTTCCTTCCTTCTCTTCTCACATTCCCTCTAATCAGGCTAAAGGCAAAGACCCACTATTCATCTACCATCAGCTTAATAGTATATATTAAAATAATAGAAGTGCATAGCCCACCATATGATCGATAGAAAGCTCGTCAGATTTGGTTACATCAGACAGCAATTCGATTCTGACATCCCCGTGGGATCTCCACATACTTCATGTATATCCCAAAAACAAAACCGCCATCAAACGTCTGGTGAGACGGCACTATGGTTCTCCAAAACCCATTTACAACGTACAGTTCTGGCTATTAATGCTCTAGAAATGAATTCTTATTTGAATAAATCACCACAAAACGCATTATATAATTTGAAAAATGGCTCTTCACCTGATGTGCGTGCAAGATCCTGCACAATATAAAAAATAAGAACAGATCTCTCCCTTGATGAACTCGAGTGAGCCAGTTGAGTGACCAACCACGCTGCTTGGAACAGCCTGCGAGGTCCAGTGGTGACCTGGAACGGCAACGGGAGACCCTGGGGGAGCGGAAGAACGATCCAGTAAGGCTGAAAGAGGTTCCTGGAACAAAGAAGAACAAGTTAGAAGGGCGCCGGAGTGTTTTCCGGCGTATCCCCTCCGACGATCTAGTCAGTCTTTTAGAAAGAGAGAGGAAGGAGAAAACACTGAGTGTGTATTGTCGTAAAGAGTTTTTTGTTGCATCCCCGTCTTGCCTTTTGCAAGGAGTATTTATACCTCAAAAGCTCATGATTGCTGTCAGTGTAGTCAGTAGGTGATCATTAGGTACAGGCAGTGTGCGCACTGATTCTGATGAAGAATGTCTTCTCTTCTTAACTGCTCGGGGTCCCGAGCAATTAATGCTGGGTCATCGGGATGCCGATGGTACAATGTACTCCTCTCGGGGAGGATGCAATAAATGCTCTGTATTAGGAGCATTTATTGACTTTCATTTCCGAGCCTTACCGCATTGAATGCAGTCTCATCAAGGGAATGGTGTAATTAATAGTTTGCTTTCCCAAGTCGCGTGTCAGCAACGGCATGCGGTTTCTCTGTCTTCGATGTGATATCATACGCCACGCGTCCATCCCCCATTGGCTGTGGCCCCTGCATTCCAGTACGTTCTGACACTAATTGTGTAAGACGAGGTCATGATGAATAGCCTAGACTAGCCTAGGCTTATGACCTGTACGTCAATAGCTTATCCTGGAGTAGAGGAAGCGTCTAGGACGGGGTACCTCTCGGCACCGAGGAAAGGCTCATCTCGGAACCGAGGGAGGTATACCGATCGAGGTACCATATCAGACCGAGACTACGTGTTGGTTGTAACTCGTACTGAATGCCATGATCCTATATGACGAGTACCTCGGGGGCGAGGACCTTTATGCGCCGATGGTGCTTGATCTTAGCAACAGTGTTTTGGTAAATACCGAGGACACGTGTCTTCATCATGGAGTATTTCAGAAAAGTCCCATCAACTGCCCCCCAGCTTTCGATCTTCTGACATCGAGGGCACACGTCGTAAGAAGACGAAGGGTTTTCCAACCACCACAAATGCTTCATCATTGCCTCGAGCCGCTTTCCCCGGCTTAGGATGTCGTGTGCATTAAATGCGTCGTTTCGTTTTTCGCGCCCAATGATGAAACAACCACTATATAAATGTGGTTCCTCTTGCATTTTCTTGTTTCGCCATTCCGAACTTCCTCAAGAGAGCCTTTTCCTGAATCTTCGCCGGAGATCTCTTTCCTCTTCCATCGTCGATTGCTCATTCTTCCTTAAAGTCTTAAGGCCAGCAGACCCATCGTTGCTTCTGAATTTTCTGGAAGGAGTTGCCCAAAGTTTTCCAGAAAAAACTCCGTTTGACATTCGGGTGAGTCCTAGTTTCTTTCTTCTTTTCTTCCTCCTATCCCTTTTTGTTTTCCGATGACTGGAGGTGTCTCCGGTTGATACTTAGCGACTAATCCTCGGGAAGCTTCCTCAGGGATTTTTAAGAAAAAACACCCTCCACTTTCTCACTTTCTTAGAGATGCCTCGTCGTCGCCCTGCTCTCGAGAATCCTCAGGCTGGTTCTTCGGGGTCGAGGAAGTATAAAGTAAAGGGTGGTGAGCAGATTAATAGGTTTAAGGTCAAGTACGACATTCCCCCGTGCGTAGACATAGAGGATTATGACCTGGTGGTGCACTTTCCTACCCTCGTGGCCGAGGATGCTATGCCATTTTATACCAAGGCCATAATAGAGGGAGGAATTAGGTTTCCTTTACCCCCTTTACTTCTTCAGTTCCTTTCTCACTTTCGCCTCTTCCCCGGGCAGTGTTGCCTTAATGTCTTCAGAATCATTATGGGGGTCTTAGAGCTCAATAGGCGCCTCGGGGTAAATATCGGGTTGAACGATCTCCTTTTTTGTTATGCCCTCTTGAGAGTCATGTCTCACTAACACTTCTACCTCAAAGCCAGGGACCCCTCCATGTACCTTGTAACTCATCTTCCCGACTCGGACAAGGGGTACAAGGACGATATTCTTATTTTCAAGGAATCTTGGCAGAGAGGTGTTGGTCCCGAGTATAACAGCTTGTTATGCCCTCTGGAATGGAGAACGACAAGTACGTCGGTTCCTTCGGGTTTATTATTTTGTTCTCCAGACTTCCGATGTTCATGACTACTTTTTTGTTTGTGCAGATATTACTGCTCGGGAAACAGCTCCTCCCCCTCGGTCGCTGGTGAACTTTGCCGACCTAGTCACGGTTTGGAGATTTACTGGTGACAACGGGTTCGGTCGGGCTGCCCACATCCTGCTGAATTACACCCCCGGGTATAAGAAATTTTCACAGCTTCCTCAGCCTTTTGAGCCTTCGCGGTGGTCTGAACTCTTCGATCAGGCGGCGAGGCAAGAGGTCGAGGAAAACTTGGAGGAAGACCTTGATCGGGCTTCGGAGGCAGAGGTAGAGGGAGTTGTTGAAGAGCTCGGGGTCAGAGAGGACGTTGTTCCTTCGGACGCCGAGGTGGGGACTTCGGGAGGAGACTTGTGGCCAGACTTTCAAGTCCTACAATCTCTAGACGCCGAGGAAGCCCTCGAGGTGGCGATGTCCAGCACGCCTCGCATTGACCTGGGGTTCCTGAGGCAGAGGCAAGCCCTTGCTGCCGGGAGGGGTCGAGGATCGACCGGCGGTGCCCCATCTGCAGGGACCAGTTCCACCCCATCCTCAAGGGTTCTCAGTCGGGGTCAAGTGCGTGACCGGGATCCTCAGGTAAAGGAGGAGAGAAGGGTCAAGCATAGGCACAATGGCCTCGGCAGAGGATCCAGGGCATCTCCCGCTCAGCAGCAAAGCGGGAGAGGCCGTGGGTTACCCCCTGCTCCTCCGCAACAGCAACAACAACAACAACAGCAACAACAACGACAACAGCAACAACAACGGCAGCAACAGACTCCCCCTTCCCCTCCGTCGACAGTGGAAGCCACAGAGTGGAACCCCCGAGCCACCGATCACATGAACCGAGTGATCAGGGTCGATGACTCCATTTTGCTGGACCCTCATGTCGCCAATGCAGTGAGTGAGACACTGCATTTCGAGGCTGACATGGCGGCTCACAGGGGGCGATCAACGAACGTGTTGTTCCGCTCTATCATCCAGAATTCCCTGGTGGTAAGTTCATTTTTGTTTTGGTTTCTTCTCTCTCGCTTTCCATTTTTGTGATACACCTTTTTCCCTCCTTTGCAGGCTACCCAGCAGATCTCCATAATAGCTGCGCGGTACCATGGGTCTAGGATGGATCTCCAGCGGGTACGAGAGCAGAAGGAAGAGGCGGAGGGGGCCCTCGCCCGAGCAATGGAGGACGTAGCTGCCAGGGATTCTACCCTGGCGGGGCAGGCTGCTCAAATTGAACAACTCCTCAAGGATGCCGAGTCGGCTAAGGTTGGCGCTGAAAAGCTAAGTGCTGCCCTTGCCGATGCTGAGGGGAGGATCACCGACTAGACGCGGCGGCTTTCTGCCGCGGAGGAGAGGGCGGTTGGCTTAGAGGAAAGCTGTCTGGCTCTCACCCAGGAGCTGGACAGGATCAAAGCCGAGACACTGAACAGAAAGTCGGAGGAGCAACTCCGGGAAGAGTTCGCCGATGACGTGTTCCCTGCTCTTGAGGAAAACAACAAGGAGTTCTTCAAGAAAGGGTGGGACGAGGCGCTCCAGTCTACTGGAATCCCGTCAGACTCCCCATTCTTCCAGATGCACAAGTACGTGCCCTCGGCAGAGATGGAACGGGCTGAAGCAGAGATTGCTGCCGAGGATGAGATCCCAACGCCGGTGCAAGGCTCGGCGGATCCGCCCGAGGCAGTGATAGTGGACTTGTCCGAAGAGGCCCCGCCGGACCATGCCCCTGATCCTCATGTTGCTCAAGGTCTCTCTGTTGCCGAAGTACCTTTCCTTCTGCCTGCTCCAGAAGCTTCTCAACCTTTTTATGCTGACTCGCCCTCGGCTGATGTTGTGGAGATGCCCGGGGGCCAGATGAAAGCCCCTTTTTCTTTTTGATTGTACTCTTTTTTTTTTTTCCTTTGTAGCCTTTGGGGACGCAAAGCCCCTCTTCTTGAAATAAATCATGAGTACTTTTTCCTTTTTTGCGTATAGTAGTGTTTTGTTTTTTTTTTTTTTTTGAACTGTCTTCTGGGCTGCTCGCCCATTCAAAAGGCACGCTCTTGTGTTTGCTTCGGGGATAGGAGTCCTTGAACTCTGTCCCCAGGGCCTTGCCCTTCCAGGAGGCTTGCTCCTGTATATGCTTCGGGGACAGGAGCCCTTGAACTCTGCCCCCAGGGCCTTGCCCTTCCAGGAGGCTTGCTCCTGTATATGCTTCGGGGACAGGAGCCCTTGAACTCTGTCCCCAGGGCCTTGCCCTTTCAGGAGGCTTGCTCCCGTATATGCTTTGGGGACAGGAGCCCTTGAACTCTGTCCCCAGGGCCTTGCCCTTCCAGGAGGCTTGCTCCTGTATTTACTTCGGGAACAGGAGCCCTTGAACTCTGCCCCCAGGGCCTTGCCCTTTATCTTTGTCGTTGGCAAGCACTTGAGGGAGAGAATACTTCAAAAGTAATATTTCTTTAGATTCATAACATTCCATGGTCGCATTACAAGTTTTCCATCCATGCCCTCTAATCTGTACGACCCGGCGCCCCCGATTGATATCACTTTGTAAGGCCCTTCCCAGTTAGGTCCCAT